CCCCAAAACCCCAAAACCCCAAAACCCCAAAACCCCAAAACCCCATATATAGCAAAAAAAATTGATTAATCAAATTTCAATAAATATGATCAGAGACCCTAACTGGGAGGAGTATTTAATCATCCCTGGGACAATCTTTACTATACAAACCATACTGTTTTTTGTTGCTTGGGCGATTAAGGACAACTCAATTGTGGACATTTTCTGGAGCATGGGAATGGCAGTCCCAAATCTAGTAATCTTAATCTACAATGGCAACTGGCATCACCGAACAATCATCTCCCTTGTGCTAGTCTGGCTCTGGGCAGTCAGACTCTTTGCACACATTGCTGTTAGACACAATGGTGAAGACTGGAGATATCAGAATTTTAGGAAAAATTGGAGAGCTCTAGGTGGATACTTCTGCGAAGTCTTTCTATCCTACACGGTGGTATTCTTACTGCAAGGCTTTTTCATGTGAATTGTTGGATCCTCTGCTTTCTTTGTAGCCTTGTTCTCTTCGAAGCATGATGATCTTTTTGTTCTGGAGTTTATCGGAGCTGCTGTTCTACTTTTCGGTCTAATTTTCGAGACAATTGCTGACATGCAACTTTCTTATCATATTAAGAATCCGGAAAATAGAGGCAAAATTATCAAGACAGGACTATGGAGATACTCGAGACATCCAAATTACTTCGGTGAAGTTGTAGTTTGGTGGGGCGTCTACCTCATTGCTTGTTCTATCAAATGGGGCTGGGTCACCTTCTACTCAGCTCTTGGTATCACCCTCCTAATAAGATTCGTTTCGGGAGTCCCTTTCCTTGAAAAGAAATACGCAGATAGACCTGATTTCATCGAGTACAAGAAGGAAACAAATTGTTTCGTCCCTTGGATTGTTAGAAGAGTTAAAGTAAATGTCCAAGAAAACGTGTCAGAAAATAAGGAATTCGATGAAGAGAAAAATACCCCACTTAGAGACAATTAATCCGAGATTCCCGGTCATGGGATCGAATTAATATTCCTAGAAGACCCTTTAAATCACCATTTATTTTGCCATAATTGTTATGTTCAAAAGTGTCGACAACCGACGGGGTTTTGGGGTTTTGGGGTTTTGGGGTTTTGGGGTTTTGGGGTTTTGGGGTTTTGGGG